ACCTGCACCTCCTCGTGCCTCAGTAGACGCATGAAATGCAACTCCAGCACCGTGGTCTCGGATGACGGGGCTCAGTTCACCTCCGAAGAATTCCGCACATTCTTGAAAGCCGGTCTCATCAGACACATCACGTCAGCACCCTTCCACCCGTCAACTAACGGACAAGCAGAGCGCATGGTGCACACAACGAAAGATTCGCTACAGCATATTGTAAAAGGGAACATGAGGGCAGCATCTGACCAGTTTTCTGCTACAGGAGCATGTAACACCATGCATGATGACAGGCAAGAGCCCAGTGGATATGCTGATGAACAGGAGGTCGAAGACATTACTTGACCGACTGCACCCAGACCTGACTGAGAGCATGAGGAAGGGAGCTGATGAAAATTCCAGCGAAGGAGCCCAACCGAAGTCACGAATGTTTCGAACAGAAGACCCAGTATTTATATGCAGCTACAGCAGTGGCCCTTCATGGATACTGGCGACAGTGGTTGAAATGACGGGTCCAGTTTCCTACAAAACCCGCACCCAGGAGAGCATTATCATGCGACGTTCTGTCGACACGGTGTGTAGGAGCGGTGCATTGAGAGTTACAACAGACAGCATCAGCCATGGAGAACGGCAAGCTGCTCGTCCTAAACCACCCGGGCACCCGGATACAGGCAGCGCAGTGCAAACGTTGGTGATGGGCCCAGTGCAAGATGTGGATGTGGCCAGGCAGAAGAGATCAGACGGGGCTCGAGCTCTTCGAGAAAGAGTTCACTTAGGGGGAAGGAGTGTTGTGTATTGAGTGGTGGTACCATCTGGAAACAGATGCCAAACCTAGAAGACCATGCCACACCGCGCGAACATTGCAAAGCATGCAGTCAACGGCCTACACCAGTCAACAAACCTGTCACGTTGTCATGTAGCCTTTGTATCTTGAGTTAATAAATAGTTAATTGTATCTTGTCGTCATCTACCGGCCAGGATCTAGCAGTGACTATACTTGAAGTGTACTGAAAAAAGTTTGTTAGTTACGGCCTCATTATTTCAGGCACAGTATGATCAGACCGTTTAAAAAAAGTTGGCCCCGAGATATTCGTAGACAGCATGATTAGTACTTGTACCTAACTAATTCAAAAACAACCCTTACCTCTAACCCTTACTTTTTTTTTTCCAGTTTTCTGTGCACCTGGTTGTATGCGCACTCCGCTGGCGTGTCTACCCAGCGGGGGAGGCACTCACTTGATCGAATGACGTTTTAGCGAACGCCCACGTTTCATCGAACGACAGTTTAGCGAATAGTCGGACGCCGCGAAGCGGCGTTTTCGGGTGGGCCAAGTGAGTTCATACTTTTGTAATGAGTTGCCGCAGACTGTCGCCGCGAAGCGGCGTAAAGCGCAGCGCGACGGATGGGTTAACGCGCGCCCCCGTTATTCGCTAAAACGACCATTCGCTCAAACGTCGCCGTTCGCTAAAATGTCATTCGCTCTTGTGATATGGACCCCCTCCTCCGAAGTTGTCTCTGATACAGCTCTGCGATAGCATGTGGAGGTCATGGGTGCTTCCTTGCCACTTGGCGACCACCTCACCATCTGTGAGCATATGCCGAACACCAAGAGGACTACCTACTTGTCCGGCGTTGGTTCCGAGGAGCTTCGCTGCTGGTGACCACCTGAAGTGGAGAAATATGTCTGAGATTCGTTCATGACAGACAATAAAAATTCTAGCGCAGTTTCGAATCAAATATATATAGCCACGCCATAACAATTCCTAGCGAAGGTTCATAAACACTGCTATAACGTATCAAGCTACTCGCTATCTTCCAAAATGTTTTGGAACATGACGTCCGTCGGGAGTTGACGCTGACATTTTGAGAAACTGTTTGCTTTTCCGACTGTTTTTAAACACGAAACACATCATTTTACAAAGAAAGGATTGCCTCGGAACTGTACCTCGGCAAACTCCGTCTTCCTCGGGTTGAAAATCGTCTGAACAATAAGACTACGTACTACGTCTTGCTTTCCGTTCCTTCTTGAATGGATGGCGCTGCATTTGTGTCAGGAACTGAACCGCAAAAATAAGTTATAATTATGCCAAACTTATTCACATTTGCCTTTACGAAACAGCACAATTAAACAGTGGTGTTATTGATATTATTTCTTACCTGAGCACTTGCACCAGGACGTGGGTGACCAGTCAAGCTCACAGGAAAACAAGCGATTGCGAAACCACCAAACCGAAAACGAAACAGTCGTGGCAGGCTTTCCTCACTTTCCTGTCGAAGACGTCGATGGCGTAGAAGTAGTCTAAACTCGCTTTAACGAAAGCATTCACCCGGTAAAAATGACTTGTAGCCGGTGCGTAGTGGCTGGTGGTAGCCACGTCCGACATTTTGTTTTCTCGTGTGGTCTCATCTTGGGTCTCAGCTGAGACCCAGCGTAAGACGCCGGTTGAGCCGCTTGCTCGAAACGAAATCGGAACCGTCTCAGCCAAGTCAGAACTTGAGTTCGGTACCTACAACGGAGTGAGCAGTACCTCGAGAGGGAATCTGGGGAAAACAGGGGAAAACGAAGAATACAGACGTGGATGGCGACACGGGGTCGTCTGCTTCAGCTACGCCGCGATCGTTTTGCCCAGGCGAAAATCAGTCTACCTCCAGCTGGATTATGGAACTGGAAATGGGGCAGTCCAGCTGGATTCCAGCTGGGTCCAGCTGGGTCCAGCTGGAATCCAGCTTGACTGCCTCATTTCCAGTTCCATAATCCAGCTGGAAGTGGACTGATTTTCGCCTGGGTGGGCAGCGACGAACGACGACACTCGTTTAAGCGATGTAAGCCATTTGGCGAGTGACGAGACAAACGACGGCAACCCCTTTTGCTGTTGCTCGGTCACTCTCGCGACAAGGCAAACCGCATCAAAGCGGCGTGGGCAAGCGACGAAGGTGATGAGCGACGTGGCCTCTCTAGAAATCCAAAAATCGAGCGACGCATCGCTTACATGCGGTTCAGCCTTAACTGCGTCATGTATTTCGTGCAAACCTCGCTTACATGCGAAAAGCGACAGCGAGCCGCGGTTCTGAACGTGTCGTCTGTCACCACCATCCAGCGCATACGCCGAATAAAGGTGTCTACAAAATGTTTGCTCGAGCTAAGGTGCCCCATTTTTTTAAGAAAAAGGAATAGCTCTGTACGTCGCCGGTCCATCACGAATCCCTTCCAAGGTAAAGAAGAAAGTAATTTGGTACGTAGATGAAAAGTTTCAATGGGTGAAGGAAATGGAGAAACGAAAACGCGTAATTCGAGAGATATTTTACAAGATTACATAAGTTGCTAAGAAAGAATGTCAGGAGAAAACTCGCGGCATCCATTGACGCTTTGCATAATGCTTCCTTTGAAACGTTTTTATTTAACGACGAAAGAAGTGGGCACTACATGCCCAAAACATGCATTTTGCAGCTGCAGAGTTGACAGTTTCTACGAAGGCACACTCCACGACCAGCGAGTTATACGTCTTACTGCACATAAAAATGAAACATTCTTTGTGCTGAAGGAATTTTGTTTGCTTCTTATTTTCCCGGCTAAATTATATAAGTAATGAAGAGTTCTGGATTTTACCACAATCAAGCAAAATTCTGTGCTGAAGGAAATTTTATTCACTTCTCATTCCCCAAAATAAATTATAGAAGCAGTCAAGAGTTGTGTATTTCAACCATTTAATACAATCAAGTTAAAACAATGAATGCGCTTGCCGCAATCAGCCGAGATCCAATGCATCAACAAAATATAAAAAGAGCCTTGTCTTCCACAGGCACAGGGCGCAACAACCACCAACTCGCACCACTGGCTGAAGCTGCGCTGGCAGTCGTCAGTACAAGCCCAAACCTTTGCTGGCATAGAAGGGGGCAGCGACACCAATTAGCGAGCTGTCATGTTACTGCTGTTTCTACGGTTACACTTGAATTCATGATGTGCCATTTGATGCAGTCAAGTCTAGAGCCTTCAGGTTTACACAAATAGCGGTTCTACTAGCAAAGCTAACATTGTATTTATAATCATATCTTGGGTATGCAGTAGTAAATACTAAGCCCAATGGAGGAAACATTCCGGCATGTTCCATCCAGAGCAAGAAGAATCCATGCACATCCAAGAACACTAAAACTTAGAGCCATGTTACTCAAGTTAAAATTCAAGGTCGGCATTCCAGTGAAAGGCCACTGCACTTATGGATAGCAGACTTAGTCTGCTACACTGTTGAAATGCTAGAGGGCACATTTTCCAAGAGTTATGCAATGCTAACGATACAAAGGTGATTGTGTTTCCACCACACCATCATTACAAAATACACAGGCTAGAAGTTTTGCGAAGTGAAGCCGAAACATGACAAGCAGCAACACAAATTTGTTTTGTATCGAAAACTACATCTGGGTAGATACGAAGGTCACAAACACAACACTTCGAACTACTTTTCTTTGGGTTCATTGTATTGAGATGCCAAGTTAAATCAATGCAAAGACAAAGCTGAGAGTCTGCCACGAATATGTATAAGATTGGCCTATCTCACTCATTTAACAGTTAATGTTTACTGGTGCGGAAAATCGAGAAGGATGAAGTGAAAACGACAGCGATACTTGGAAGACAACGAGGAGGCAGGAGGTTTTTTTTGTTGTATACCTTGAACCATAAGAACGGCCGATTAAACGGTACGACATTTACTGCTCGGACTATTTAATTCTTAACTGAGAAGGATCCTCGACATTTTGGAGCCGAAACCCGGGAAACTGCTTCACGACATCACCTCCGAGCCCAGACGAAGCTGCAAATGTACCAGGACTTTCGTTGCTAACCCTAACAGTGGAACTCTGAGACTTTAACGACGGAGGCAAATCATCGGGATTGTAACGCGAAGATCTTTCAAGAGGGATTCCTGCCAACCAAGCGAAAGCCAATCGACTCTAACGAATCGCAATGGACAGACTGAAGGCGAAGCGTACCACTTGACAAGCCCAAAATACCAGGATGATAAACGACGCTACCACACTGCTGAACAGCCCTGATATAGACCTGAGCAGGCTCATCGGATTCAAAGAACGCCTGACTACGAGCAACGCGGAGCTTGATAGAATTAACGAGGAGTTAGAGCCGCTGCTATCAGCAGAGTTGGAGGACGAGTACGCTGCTGCTGCCGAATGTCAAGGCCATGCCGTCATGCTTATTGCGCAGCTTGGCTTCAAGATTGCGGAACTGGAGAACAGTAGACGCCCCATGGTTCAGGCGACAGCAACGACTACGCCCAATGCGCATGACACAGTCTTCAGGATGAGTGGATCCAGACTACCAAAACTGGACATCACTACTTTCAGAGGGGACGTCACCCAGTGGCAGACGTTTTGGGAACAGTATGAAGGAACAAATCACTCAAATCGCACGTTGTCAACGATGGATAAATTTCATTATTTGCGCCGCTACTTGACTGGAGACGCAGCAGCTGCAATAGCAGGGCTACCCACAACGGAAGCGTGCTATGCTGATGCCATTCAACTACTAAAGCAACGTTTTGGTGATCAAAAGAGGATAGAGCAAGTACACCTGGCGGCCCTTCGAAATCTTCCCCGTGTTCGATCTTCTACAGACACCATGGGTCTGAGGAACTTGTACGACACTATGCAGCTGAACATTCGAGCTCTCAACTCACTAAACGTGCCGACCGGAAGTTTCGCGGCCATGCTTTGCGATATCCTCATCACATCGATGCCTCATGACATTGTGGTGCAATACTACAGACAAGTTTCATACAAGGCTCCAAACAACGCAGCAGCGGAGGAGGCAGGAGGTTTTTTTGTTGTATACCTTGAACTATAAGAACGGCCGATTAAACGGTACGACATTTACTGCTCGGACTATTTAATTCTTGACTGAAAAAGATCCTTGACAACTGGTGGCCATAGCTGAGCTCGTTGCTGCTGAGCAAATGCCGACGGCAAGCTTCCACAACAATTGCAACACGCACATTGCCCACACGAAGAATGTCTTTTTTGGTATATCAATAAGAAGTCATCCTGAGCCGTAAGCTTGAATATGGTGTCCAATGAGCACTGACAAGCATACCCCCTAAATTTGCATCACCACAAGCACATCTGAGACTTAGCATAGTAGTCTTTTCACCATTGGAAAGAAACACAGGGACAAGCAACCAGAAAATTGGGTGGCTTGGACCTGTTACGACTTGTTTTGTATGGTTCCTAACGCCATCTATGCTGTCGCATACATTCCCAATAAAAGGCCAGCCCCATTAGAGCTAGCCACGCGGCCATGCAGCAATGCCACGCTCTTACCTTCGCAACCAACGTGTCTTTCTGACATTCCTACTAGAACACAACATATCAGCATCAACACTGCACACTGGCTCCACTTGAAGCCAGCTGCATTCACAACTGATAGCCACGACAGCTAATATTGGGCTTGACCTGCACAACGTATTTTGGCTCTGCTCGAGCCTAGCTACTTTTACAATAGCCACAACGGCCAAGACCTGAGGGATCAAGCTTGATCCACAAGCACACAAAAAGATTTCCTGAAACAAAAATAAATAAATAAATAAGAGTGCTTGCAAAATATGTACAGGGGTGACATGACACACAACCTTGCGGATTGTCCTCAGGGTCAACACAGCCCCAGCCAATGTGCGGCTAGCAACTGATGAGGCTGGGCCAGAAGTTGGGCTTTCAGCCACAAGGTCGATGTGGACTCCGGGGTCATTTTCCTCGAGGTGCCGGAGTTTGAGGGAACGAGACTACCAGCCTTCGGACTGGTTGCTGGAAGAGGACAAGACGTCCCTGGAGTCTGGTGCAGCAGCTGCTCTGCCACGCCGGGAAGGGCCTCTGCTACGCCGGGAAGGGCTTCTGCCACGCCGGGAAAGGCCTCTGCCACGCCGGGAAAGGCCTCTGCCAATGGCGGAGGGACCACCTGAGCCTGAGGCAGCAGCTGCTGCTGCTGAAGGGCGACCAGTACCACCGGGCCGACGACGGCCGGGACCCCCTCGTCCACGACCAGCCTGAAGCCCCAGCACACCGCCTGCAGGTGCGGCAGCCGGCACACGGGCTGCAGACAGGCAGTATTATAAAGACCTGCTCGCACAAGCCAGAAAACGTGCCACTCAAGCAGCAATGCGTCCTTGTTTGGCAAAATACAGCCCTTGAAGAGCTCAGAACGGCACAGGCAGAGCGCAAAGCATCAAAAGAGACGCAGAATGCGACCCTATTTGTTTAGAGAATGGTGCAAGACTGTTTTTGCCCTGCTTGGACTAGCTGCTTAAGAAGAAGGCCCTAAAGGAGGGGATTGTAGATATAATAAGCATATGTTTTCTGGTTAGTGCTTGTCGATGTCTCCACCTTTAGTATCTAGCATGCACAAATCTTCCACTGCATTATCTCGTTTGGCAGCCTGCAGAACTAAAGAAATGATGGCTTCATAAAAGGTATGCAGCAACTTTTACACACTCAGCCAAGTAAAAGCGAACATCATTACTGTATAAACACATGCAAGGGCCCCACTTCAAGAAAAATGTTTGCCTTCCACACCACCGCATTTGTACAGCCTTGTGCAATGTCACCCCATGCAGTTAGCGTCAATGCTTTTCTTCTCTTTGGACTCGTTACAATCTTTCCCTTCTTGCTGCCTTTTGTCAAAGTTCCTTGAGGTACTTTGAGCCAAAATCCCAGCACATTTGTCTTCTTTTTGCATTTCAAGAAGACGACAAATGCATCCACCATTTGCTGATGTCAAAGCTGAGTGGGAGTGAGAATGAAAGAAAGTACAAAATGCAGCTGCAAAATGGCAGTGCAACGTCGTAAACGCTCATACACGCAGTTGCGTTTTAGTGTGTTTGACTGCATTACATCGAAAAGTAGGCATGAGTCGGCGGATTGTCTGTAGTTCACATAAAACGAAGCACCTAATTTGCTTATCACGCGGCATACAAAGGATATATTTCCTTGTTACCTGCAGTCGCAACGCAGTCTAACGCAACAGACTGATCTGACTGAGAATTCGGCACATGCGTGGCGCCACCATAACTTTAGTTCAGAGGAGGCAGACGGCGGTGCCAGGACAATGCACGAGAGGACTCGTACCATCTCGTGCTTACACAAGCAGAAAGACTGAAGTTCCCTTGATGCATTGCAGCAGTGGTGGTGTAGTCAAACTGGCTGGTGAGATCGGTCTATTGCCTGTATGGGCCTTTACGCAAGACTGCCACTCAGGAATGTGCTTCCACAGAACAAGAGATACTGCAAGAAAGGCACATTTCAAAACCAAGATTGCGATTCAGTGTAACGAATCCCTTCGATTTTTATTTTTTTGTTTTGTTTTGTTGTTGCTACATTTCTTTAGTGGGAGTGGTCTGTCAAAACAGGCCGTGAATCCCAAAAAGAAGCGACCGGGGACTGGCTCGCTTACAAGGAGGTTATAAGGGGCAGGAGGTGGCGCCCGTATTCTCCATACATGGAGCGAAGTGTAACGGAAGTAGGCGTGACCATGAACTCTTCTCACCCAATGGGGAGCTCGTCAAATTGATTTTTGGGGCAAACAAGCCTCGTCGCCATGGCATTTCCGTGGCAACGCTGTTGTTTGCCCCAATATTTCAAGACAGCGATGGCAGCGTCCACTGAATCGGTGTCGAACAGGCGAGATTTGGTACCCAACAGTTGCCTGACCAGTAGGAAGTGGGTGTGTAGCGCACGCTCTCGACACCCCGCGACCGTGCCTGGAGCGTCGTCTAGAACGAGCCGTCGTAGCGCGGCTTTGGCAAGCGATCGCGTGTCAGTCGTCGTACACAAAAACGTTGAGAATGGCATCGCGGGTTGAGAAAGCCAAACAAACCCTGCTTCCTGAAGATGTTGGTTTCACTCCGCCATATGAGAATGCGCGTTCGCAACGAAACATCTTTTGGTGCGCCGATCGAATCGAAAGCCAGCCGCGACAGCGAGCAGACGAAGCAGACCGCAGGCACGGAGCAGACATAGCCCAAGCCTAACGACCGAGCGGAGAGCAGACGATGGGAGCCTGGTTGAATTTAGTTTGGATGAGAGCGCGTCGGTGCGCGAGGCGGTCTGGGCTTGGGTTCTTTTTCCGGCGTCACTGGGTACGACGTCATGCCAGGTCCTGCCCTATTTAAACGTCCTTGCTCTCTTATCTCAACTCCGCCTTGTGTACTGTGTACTGTACGCATCCTACCGAGAACCGATTGCTTTTTGTGTGTATGTTCTGTTGTGCCACGCCGAATATATCTAAGAGAAACTTCCTGCGGTCTGGCTTGTTTATGTTAAGGCCGCCTTGTGTATGTGTACCACCCAGAATCAAAGGTTTGTTTTGTTTGTGTTTGACTTGTGTTCGGTTCAACCATGTGGGGAAGCCAAAGGGAAACGGTAGGGGCACAGCTCGTTAGCGGAAAGGCAACTTTTTGTATGCGCTGAACGGAGAATGTTGGCTGACCGCGTACACCACCGCCCAATGACGCTGTTCCAGCTGGATGAAGTGTGAAAGTAGCGTTGTGTTTGTTGTTTTTCTGAAAACCACAAAATTGAGTTTTGATTGGAGCGAAGAAGCTTGTTTCTGATTCGTCAAAGCAAGTGTCTCCAGAATGCTGCTAGCTCTTGTATATAGAAGTGGACTGGCAGGAAAAAAGGCCAGAATCCAGAGAGCAGTCGGAGACTCTGCTCTCCTGTCCTGCGGTCGTGAAGACGCAATGAGTTGAGCCTGCCGCTGGAAAGTCATTGTTCCCCATCGAGTTCTGTTGGTCCCTGTGTTGCGGCGTAGGTGGGTGAGGAAGTGCACCAGATGAAATCGTCCGACTGACTGGACCAAAACCATGAAAAAGGCATTCATGCCCCCTAGATCAGCGTCGATGGCAGATAAGACTCATTTTTACCTGTACTGCGCCCGTTCGCTTTGAGGCTGTGGCTATGTATTCAGCTACTGTTGGGTTTTCTGTTTGTCTGCTCACAACCGTGTGCTGCGCATCGCCTAGTTTTTTTGCGTGAGCTGTTTTTGCCATCTTGGTGAAGGCAGTAAATATCTTTTGATTTTCACCCTCTACCCTGTCATCGCTTTCCTGCTCACGTTTACACCATGAGTGGCCCGTTTTGTATGTCGACCAGTTGAATCATCTTTTTTTTTTTCTTTTCTTCCTATGTGAGCTGTGGACTGTGTCTTTTTTACGTTATTTCTATTAATCAACAAAGGGGCCCACAGACATTGTGACAAGCTTGCACATGTATGGCAGTCCAGGTCTGTTAAAATGCTTCTGTTCTTTCCCGGTTCGAAATGGAGGTGTATTAGACCAATAATTTTGATTGCAAGTACATTAAGTGTTGGATGCACAAATATATATATTTTTTAAATCCCATGTGGCCAATACCTTGAAAAGATATCTTGTAACAAAAAGTGCTGCTCTTACACGAGTTTATAAGGGATAAACTTGTGTTTGTAGGCTTAAATCTCACCACGAAAGTGTTGGTGCACAATCGCATGTCGGCGCGCAACCCCATCGTCTGCTTCGGGTGGCGATGGAGGCACGGGAACCTCTGGTGGAAGGTCACAGTCACCTTCCCTGCACGTGTAGTGCTGTGCAATGTTGTGCATCACACAGCACGCCACAGCGATGGTGCAGCAGCGCTCTGGCAGCATCCTCAGCTCGGCGTGCAGGCAGTGGAAGCGGCGCTTCAGCTGCCCGATCGTCCTGCGATTGAAAAACTTCATTGGGCCCTTGGCACATTTTATATAACCTAAGGCAGGCTTAACTGCCAACCTTCTCCTGTACCACACTGCAAGAAACACAGTTAAGTGATGCCACTCGTTATCGC